CTTGGAAAAAGAGAGAACGTGAAAGTTCCGATCAGAGTCGAGAGGTAGATATGAAAATTGGAGAAACCTTGATAAAAATGAGTGTGCATATTGTTGACAGAAAGGCCATTGGAAGAAAGATTGTCCGATCTTAAAAGAGAATGGGTCGAAGTCCAATGTGGTTAAAGATGACAACATTGATACAGATAATACGTTGACGATCTCCTTACCAGTTAGTCAAATCAATGAATGGATTCTTGATTCTGGGTGCTCCTATCATGCTTCCCAATAGAGAGATGTTTTTGGACTTCAAAGAGTTTAATGGAGTTGTCTATATGGGCAATGATAGTACTTGCAAGATGATGGGAATCGACTCAGTACAAATCAAGATGCTTGATGCGGTGTACGAAACCTCAATGATGTGAGGTATGTCCCTGATTTGAAGAAAAATTTGATTTTCCTTGGCGTTTTGGATACGAGTGGTTATCGTATCATTTTGGAATGAGGGAATTTGAAAGTAGGTCGTGAAACTTTGGTGGCAATTAAAGGGACTAGAAGAGGTACCATATACTATCTCAATGGAACCACAATAATTGAGCATGCTACTGTGGCAAGTTTGAAAGAACAAGACATATCAAAATTATGGCACATGTGACTCGGGCATGCTGGTGAGAAGGCGCTCCAGACAAGGTGCCACAACTGGTCCAATTGATTTTTGTGAACCTTGTATATTTGGTAAACAAAAAAAATGTGAAGTTTGGTATCGCCATACACCAAACAAAGGGCATCTTGAATTATGTTCACACTGATGTATGGCGTCTCACAAAGAATGTCTCATTGGAAGGAAAGGGGTGGTTTGTCACCTTTATTGATGACTACTGGGAATAGAGTTTGGATGTATCTCATGAGGCACAAAAACGAGGTTCTCTAAATCTTCCTAGAGTGGAAGAAAATGGTAGAGAATCAGACAAACAAGAAAACCAAAAAACTGAGATCAGACAATGGTGGAGAATATACTTATGATCCATTCCTTAAAGTATGTCGAGATGAAGGGATCGTTCGACACTTGACTGTTCCTGGTAAGCCACAACAAAATGGAGTTGCTGATAAAATGAACCAGACATTGATAGAGAAGGTTCAATGCATATTGTCTCAAGCAGGATTGAGTAAGACATTTTGGGCTGAGACTCTCATTTACGCAGTTCACTTGGTGAATCGATTACCTGTTTCTGCAAATGGTGGAAAAGCTTCGCTTGAGGTATGATCAGGTGTTCTTGTTAGAGATTATGATAATTTGCATGTGACAACTCAAACCTCGATCCTAGAACCAAAAAAAGCCAAGTTTATGGGCTTTAATAAAGGCATGAAGGGTTATAGGTTATGGTGTCCAGAAACAAGTGAGATTGTCAATATTCGAAATGTGACTTTCGATGAGTCTGAAATATTTTTACAGAAAATTGAAAATAATGACGAGGTATCAAAGCAAGTGGAGAAAGTGGTGTTCTCTCTCGATGTGGTTGCTCCTACTGAAAAACCTATTGATTGGGTAGACAATAACTCTAATGTCTTAGAGTAGGTGGAGCAAAGCCTCGTAAATGAAAGATTGGAGGAACCTAAGTCCATCGCCATGAAAAGACCACTAAGGAAAATTCGAAAACCTGCAAGGTTTGATGATACGATAGCATATGTTTTCCCTATGATCGATGAAGTTTCCAATAGTTACCAAGATGTTATTCAAAATCAAACTTGGAATTTGGTACTGCTTCTAAGAGGTAAAAAGAAAATTGGTTATAAATGGGTTTATGAAGAAAAAGAAAATTCTTTTTGGTATAAGTAATGAGGCTTGAGGTAGTGGGAACCAAATCAATTATTTACTTATGAGAAGGTAAGATTGTTGTAAATTGTTTAATTTAGTTATTAACTCTCTTTCATTTATAACCATGGATTAAATAAGAATATTATTAATTTGGTCATTAATTTTGTAACTATTTTAATATTAATCCTTATTTAATTCCATAAGTTTGATAATTCAAACAATTGTCTCAATATAATGGGTTTGTCTATGAGGTTGATGATGTATCGAAATTTGATATCCAAGTTTGATTGAGTTTTGTGTGTCACTTTGTATTCTTGAGTGACATTTTGGTGAGAGCTTTGTAGTGTAAAAGTGAGGTATTCACTTGTAACACTTTGATTATCAGTGATTGGTTACTACCCGTGGATGTAAGGGAATTTCTTCTCTTCGAACCACATAAATATCTTGGTATCTCTTTGTTTAATTTCGTTCACTGTGGTTGTGAGTACATTCGTTCCGCTTTCGCTACAACAAACGGTTTCATAGATTTGTAGTTGTAGCATTTGGCGCACAATATCAACAACGTTTCCAAAAATCAATGTAATAACGTATACATATAAAAAATGCTCAGTTTATTCATAAAAGAGAGAACAAAATCAGGGTAAAAAAGTTATATACGATATCATAGACTACAAAAATATACGGGCAAGACAAATGCTCTGAGTCGACACCCCTTTATAGCTACTGAGCTCTCGAGCACCCCTTCACCTCGACCAACAACATCATGCACTTGAAAAACGAAAATGTAGAAAGAGTTGAGTATATGAATATACCTAGTAAGCAACCTACTTCTAGGCTTCCACTGCATCCTTTACCTAGTAGGTAACCATAAACTTTGGCTCCATGTAAAGGATGATGTTATTCACAGACTTGAGTAGCTAGCTTAGCCTACGCAGTGGTATTTAGTATCTAAGGCTTAATCCCTTTCTTGGCTTATTGCAAGATATGATATCAGAAAAGGGTTAACTAGCCAAGCTACTAGCTTCGTCAATCACTGTTTGGATAAAATTGTTAACTACCCTATGTTCTTTGTTCTTGCTATTGCTCCGTTAATCTCAAGTTAAATCATGTTAGAAATTTCAATCTAAATGCTACATTCACATTCTAGCCATCGAGTTATCTTTCACACAATATTCGAAGTTTTGGGTCAAACTAACCTTGACAAAGATCATTTTATACATATGTTTACATTGAGAGTTGTTGAGCAGACAATAAGCATAAGTAAAATCAATCACATTTTTTCGTAGTAAAATTAAAGGGAAAGAAATCATAGACACAAAACCTTCTCGGTTAACCTCATTATCGTTCAAATGTGGGCTCTTATACACATCTCTGACAAACCTCATGTCTTTCGCAAGGTTAAGGTTAACTCATTTTCTCAAAAGAAAAAAAAAAGGCACTTTTAATTCCTTTTCTGATTAGTTTGAGTTTCATTTTATCGAAAGAGCAAGAGTCTGACTATAAAATAAAGATCATCTGCTCTAAAAGAATTAACTTTTCAAAAAATCAAGCAAATGAAATATCTTTGAAGATTTATTTATTTATTTATTTTTTAATTTGGTTTATAAAGTAAATGAGTGAAAATAAAACATGCTAAAAGAACGTGGGTTCAATCATTCAAGATAAGTAAGATGTCGAGACTAAGTTGGATTCTAAATCTAAGGTTTAGGAGAGTTATCTCCTACTAAAAAAATCTTCACTCTTAAAAAGTGAAAGAGTAAGTAACATGACCATGTACGATGCAAGCTAATGTTGGGGATATCATGTATTCCAAACCCTATTCCTCTTTTGTAAATAATTTTGAACAATACTATAATTGATTTTGTTTGTGGTTTTAAATTGCACAAAATATTTCGTTTTCTTATTAAATGCTGAAAAGGTGAAAGGTGTAGCTCTTACCCACTCCCACTTAGTAATGTCATTAATAATTTATGCAATATTCATACCATAATGAATGAGTTGATGGCATTAGTTGACACTATAAAAGACTCGCTAGTGTGGCTTTGGAGATATGTTCATAGCACAAAGCTATGGACAATGGAAACGATTAATGTTTGTGTTATTATTGGATGTGTTTTAGGGGTTTATATGTTCGTTATTATGTGCATATCATGAAAGACTTCTCAAAACTAATTTGAATAGAAGTATCTGAAAGCTTAAACGTTTTAAAACCCCTTAGATATATGTTTGGAATTCTAGAAAGAAATCTTAAAATGATAAATGATATGCTTTAAACATCATAAAAGTTTTAGTATTTATCAAAACATTTAAAATCTTATGGTCAAATAACCGGACTAAAATCTAAAAATAAAAATAAAAAGGTCAACTACCACCAAAAACGTCTTTGACCTTGTCCTTACCTAGAAAAAATTAAGTTTTGAAAATGGTTGTTGGATCCAAAAATTCAAACATACAAATATGATTATGACCCTCCTTACTTGTGAGACCTAAACGGACTCAACTTATTATGTTGATAAAAAGTATATGTCCATTACTTATAAATTCATGATTCATGTATATGTACATGAATTTGCTAGGCAAGCATTACCTTCATTCTCTGAGGCATGACACAGCGGAAATGATCAAAAGAAAAGAATTTATTTTTGAAGTGGATTATGAGATCTTTTTTTTTTTCGACAAATTACTATTTGTTTCTTACAAACACCTAATTAATCATTTTTAATAAGTTTGATGAAATCGAGAATTATTGTAATAACTTAAGTCCACTGTTAGTAGATATTGTTTGTTTTTGCGTGTTACATTATCTTTGGGATAGTTTCGGTTCCCTTCATCCCATCAACTTCACAATATTCAAAACGCGTCTACTAAGGAGAGATTTTTACACCCTTTTAAGGAATGGTTCCTTTTTTCGTTTCCCTCTCCTACCAATGTGAGATCTCACAATCTACCCCCTTAGGGGCCAACGTCCTCATTGACACACCGTTCGGTATCAACCTCATGATTTTTAAAACCTCACAATCTACCCTCCTAGAAGCCAACGTCGTCGCTGGCACACCGTCTGGTAAAACCTCACGATTTTTAAAACGCGTATGCTAGAAAGAAATTTCTACACACTTAATAGGGTGTTTGGTTCCCCTCTCCAATTGAAACGAGATCTCATTTATAAAAGATTATTACATTCTTGCACAGGAATGGAAGAGCCGGGATGTATAAAAGTCACCTCTATGGAAGGCCAACAATCATCGTAACAGATCCAGAGATATGTCGACCCATATACTTAGATGATGAAATCTTCAAATCAAATTATCCAAAGTCGGTGAAGATATTAGAAGTAAATGGTTTTTTCACAAGGGCTAATCACAAATCTGCATATAGAATCATGGCAGCTCCCATGAATGGCTATGAGGTATTGTCTCATTATGTGGACTTCATTGATCAAGTAATGGCAAAAGGCTTGGAGGAATGGAGCAGCATGAAAGAGCCCATTGAGTTGTTGGGTGAGATTGGAAGCCTCTTTTTTAAAGTAATTTCACGTATTTTCTTGGGGACTGACATTGGAGCATCTCGCATGGCTGAGCTTGAGACATTATATAAAGATTTGGGTCCTGCAATCTTGTCCATTCTTCCTTATGATTTGCCTGGACTCACTTTTCATCGTGCACTGAAAGTACCGTTATCATAAGTTCATGCATCTCCAGTGTATATATGTATTGACATTTATTTGGTTTATAGCTCTCATTTATTTGGTTATAACTCTCATTTGTTTGGTTTATCTCTTATTAATTTGTTTCTTAACCTTTTAGTTCATAGCTCATTTATTTGAATCACCTCTCATTTACTTGGTTCATAATCCTTTTAGTTGATCTTTTATTTTGATATCAATACTTCTATGCCTATCTAAAGGGTTTTTTAGGATGATTGAGATATATTGAGTTTGAGTGTCATTTTATATTTGTTGAGTGACATTTGAGAAGAACTTTATTGAGATACTTTGTGTGCGAGATATACCTTTTGTAAACATTTTGATTATTAAGATTGGTTGCTACTCGTGGATCTAGAAAAATCTCTTCTCTTTGAACCACGTAAATCTTTGTGTCTTTTCGTTTAATTTCTGTTTGTATATATAAGTGTGATCGATCTTACATATGCTTCCGTCTTCCGTCCAAGAATTACTTCATTTGAATACGTTTTTTGGTGCATTATTTATTTACTTATGCTAATGGATGTGATGGGAAGATATTAAATGTTATTTTGAATGCAACATATTTGGCAGGCAAGAAAAAAGATAGAAAATATTCTAGAATGTGTGATAGAGGAGAAAAGAAGAGCCCTAGAAAAGGAAGAAAGAGAAGTGGAGAGCCAAATGGACAGATTGATTATGGCAAGGGATGAGAATGGGATGAAATTATATGATAACAATGCCATTATAGACTTGCTTCTTGGATTGCTGTATGCTGGCCATCATACCCCATCTATTGCTGCTATGTGGGCTCTCGTACACATCTCTTAAACTCATGTCTTTCGCTAAGGTTAGCTCACCATCAACTCAAAAGGGATTAACTTTTCAAGAAATGAAGCCGATGAAATTTCTTATGAAGGTACGTCTTTTTTCTAAAAAAGTAAAAAAAATCGTAGAAAGTAAACCAGTGAAAACAAAACGAGCTACAAGAACCTGGATCAGTTTTGAAGGACATTTTTCGCTCACACAAGTCGTTCGAGACGTCGAAAGTGTTCTAACTAGGTTGTAGGAAAATGTCGAGGCTGTGTGTCGAATCTAGATTCTAAATCTAGGGCTTAGGAGTGTTACCTCCTACTAAAAAAATCTTCTACCAAGCAGATTAAATTAGGTTAATGAACACATTTTAACAAGAACTTAAAGTCAGTCATCACATTTCAAGTAACACCTCATGCCCAAGATTCATAATCATTTTTTTATACCGGTGTGCCTTGACATTTTCCTGCAATATGGTCACATTACTTACTTCTTGTTTCTAAAAGTGAAAACTATCCCAATAGATCAACACGAATTCTTTCATCATGTTTTATTCTCACTCACATAATTACTCAAAGTTTCTATGATTGGGTCACCAAAAAAGAAAGTAAATTTATAATTGCTCAAAGATATTAACTTTCCATTTTTTTTAAGTTTTTCATAGTCATTCTATCATCTGGATCATTCTCATTCAAATATAGTATCGGTTCATTCATGCATCCTTCCTTTATTCCGGTATCTCATTTCATCGACATTAGAGATAAAATAGAGAATATAAAGTTTGAGTTTGATTAATTTATCGTTTCAGTTTATTAACGAGCTATTGAGAAGAAACACCATCGTCGTTGCAAGTTTCCGCAAAGCAAAAAAAGATGTAAACATCAATGGTTAGTTATTCTATTAATGTTTGATATATAATTACATGACATTTATAATTTCTTTGTTGATCTTTTCGTATTTGTTTTAGACTACACCATACCAAAGGGATGGAACGTACTAATTTGGACAAGAGCTATTCATATGGACCCTCAATTATATTCAAATCCACAAGAGTTTGATCCTTTGAGATGGGAGGTATGATTTATGATCCCAATCATTTCATCAATTCATTAGGATTGTTGGATGAAAGTTCCACGTCGGCTAATTTAGTAAATGATCAAAGAATACTATCTCTATTGGTACGAAGCATTTTGGGGAAGCTCAAAACAAAGGCATGAGAGCTTATGCTCAAAGTGGACAATATCATGTCATTGTGGAGAGTTGTATTCATCTAACATAGTATCAGAGTCATCTCTTAAACTTAGTCATGTCAATAGAATCCTCAAATGTCGAACAAAGGACTCCAAAAGAAAAGGAGTCGAGTCTCGATTAAAGGGAGGTGTAATTTAGGGAATGATCATAGGTTTATAATCGATGAATATTATCTCTATTGGTATGAGGTCATGAGAGCTTATGCTCAAAGTGGACAATATCATACTATTGTGGAGAGTCGTGTTCATCTAACAAAGATGTTTATCATAAAGATATTAATGTGAGTGGTGTTCATAAGCAGAATTATTCATCAAAGCCGGGAACATTCATCCCTTTTGGAATCGGAACTAGATTTTGTCCAGTCCTCGAAGTGAGCTTACCAAGCTTGAGATTACAATTTTACTTCATCATTTTATCCTCAATTACAAGTAAATACCCATCCAAATCTATCTTTTTACTGTTTAATCAAAATAAAAAATGCATAAGTGATAGAATTGTTTTGCTTGTGTTATTGTAGAATGGAACTGCCCCCAAGCTCGTAGACAAATGCCTTTGCACAATTACCAAGCTCCCATAGTGAATACTACTGCTCGAGTTATGAACTCGAGGAATTAGCGTTCTCCTTAAGATCGAGTTTAATGAGTAATTGTCTTGTATGATCCATCCGATTACCTTTATATGGATATAACGCCTTAATAAAATTGTGAAGTAAACTGAATTTCAATAAATTTTGATTTGGAAAAAAATGATCACGAAAAAAGTGAGTGTTCTAAATTTCCTACAAAAATAGCGTTTTATGAACTTCATAAATCTCTACTAAATTAAAAATGGTTCTAAATTCACAAATTAACAATAAAATATATCAAACATTTCAAAAAAAAATTAATTTGAGCTAAAACATAGAAGTAGAAATCTCAATATAATCTCTAAATTCAAACTTAACTATAGATTTCTTCCGTAAATCATTTAGTAAAAATAAGCCCCACATTAGATAGTTTCGACAACATCGTCTATTCATGTTATTACTCTAAGTAACATATATGCATTGGTTTTTATACGTTCATCATCATTAACATTAATTAGAGTTATGTCCTATAAAAATATTGGTTATAATGTGTCATGAAATTTAATACATGTACATCATCTTAATATGAAGTGTTTCATCATCATACGTCTTACATCATCACATAACATCATCACATCATCATATAACATCATCACATTATCATATAACGTCATCAAATCATCATATAACATCATCACATTATCTTATAACATAATCATGTCATCATATTCATAAAGCATAAATGCGTGCAAGGACCATTGAGCACGTGTCGTCATATATAAAACAAGTCTTCCTATCGAGTCAATAAATGTTACTTACTTGGTTGGCCTTAGCCAAATTTCTATCTAACTCCAAATTCATTCTCACTTATATGAAGACTTCTTATTCACTTAGTTGCCTCATTCAAAGTCAATTCCATGTTTTTATTGTGATTACTTTCTTCTTTCTTTTTTTTTTTTTTTTTTTTTTTCCCTCTTTTCTAATAGCATTTTCTTTAAATTGCTATAAAGAAAAGCAATTATATAGTATATTTCTTGTAGGATCCTCATGGTCTAAGTCCATGTTTATAAAAGTGTTTGATAGTAAAACTTTAATTAAAAAATATGAAGTGATTTCCTCCGGTTGAATGAGTCGTGTTCATTTAACATGGTACCAGAGTTATGCCCTAAACTTAGCCATGTTAATAAAATTCTCAAATGTCGAACAAATGACTCCAAAAGAAAAAAAAATGAGTCAAGGCTCCTCAAAGGCATAGTAAAAAATGACTAAGACTCCAAAAGAAAATGAGTTGAACCTCAATTAAGGGGAGGTGTACTTTGTTCGAGGGGAGGTGTTGGATGAAAGTTCTAGATTGGCTAATTTAGGGAATGATCATTAGTTTATAATCAAAGAATACTATCTCGATTGGGGTGAGGCATCTTAGGAAGTCTAAAGCAAAGCTATGAGAGTTTATACTCAAAGTGGACAATATCATACCATTCTGGAGAGTCATCTAACACCTCCCACTTATAAATAACTCAACGCCAAATAATTGTAATGAAATTAGGATAAAAGAAACCTAAAATCTAAAATATAACTTAATGTAACAAACTGAGACATTATGCTTAAAGACCATCTTCATTTTTCTTAAATCTCCCATTTTTGTTTTGTTTTTTTTTTTTTTTTTTTTTTTCTTTCTTTTCAAAAATCTTTGGCTCGTGTATTTTAGGGAAGAGAGACGTTAGTGAAGAGATGGGACTCTTTTACTATTAATCTTTTTTTTTACATTGTTCGGCCAATTTAAAGAGTCAAAGAGGTATGAAGAAGCATCACAAAATATAGCTTTGCAAAAGACAATAGAGGAACAATTTAGAGCCTTGAAGCAAAATCAAACTTGAAAACTAGTGTTGAGACTAGGAGATGTCAAACTCATCTTTTGAGAGTGGGTTTACAAAATAAAGCGTGTCTCAAATGAATCAATCGAGAGATACATGGCTCGAATTGTAGCTCAATGAGTCTCAACAATATGAACTAAACTGTGATAAAACTTATGTTTAGTGGCAAAGATCACTACCATACGAGTCCCGCTAGTACTTCGGTAAGTAAAGATTAGAAATTATGGCAGATGGATGTGAAAAATGTTTTCTTACACAGTTGGACTAGAAGATCTACCTGAACAAATAGAAAGAATTTAAGAATGCAATTAGAATCATGAGTCCGAACGTGAAAAGTCTGAAGCAACCTAATTTGGATGCGGCTAGACATATCCTGAGATATGTCAAAGATACAATCAACTACGATCTTTTGTACAAAAGAAGTGAAGACGGCAAGCTAGTTGTATACTGTATTTCCTACTGCAAGCTAGTCCTATTGCCATCGAATGGCATCCCTCTAAAAACACATGTTTAAAACAAATGAAAATCACATATTCACGATAGAAACGCTACTTCACCACTTTTTAGGACACGTAACTTATCAATGAAGGATTTGTAATTACGATGGGAGGCTAGGAGCTCACTAGGGAGAAACTCGTATAGCCCCACAACTTGTAAACATCCTTATTTCCTTTGCACAACTTTCTTCATCAATCTTTTTAAGAATATCTCATCATTCCAAGATAATTTGATTAACTCTTTACCCGTCCACACATATGCAATCGACCGATATATAATAGGTACTCAATAATAGGTATTTAATAGGCAACCTAATCCTAATTTAAACTCATAAACTCATAACAATATACATTGGACTCCCCAAATAAGTTCATAAATTCATATTTAAGCTTAACCCACCTAGATAAGCTTAAATATCTAAACTCAATCTGATTTTATATTAGATATAGATTCAATAATAATTCATAAATGTGTTTATATTTTAGTGATGCTTAACTGATCCAAATAGCTACATACGATATATCAATTCAATCATACTTCAAACATAACATCTCTTAATCGTGTTTCATCTATAGGTTTAGTTCGAAAGAAAATTTCAAAAAACTACTTTGCCTCATTCAAAGATTCATTTTCTAACGAAATTAGCCTATATTTTGATCTAAATTCTTTCAAACCTCTTAAATAAGTCATAAAATAAGAGAATAGATTAGCACATACGAAATCAGCTAAAAAAAATGAAGAAAATGAGATCGAACCGTGCTAAATAGACAAAACTGGTTCAATTGGATCGAACCCGCTAATATAAAACACGTCTACTTCTTCTCGTTGTCAAGATCATTATGTGGACTATCTAAATCAAGTACCACCGAGATCATTACATACCAATTGCTATCTCGTTGTCATACATACCAATTGCTATCTCGTTGTCAAGTTCCACTTAGACTCCCTAAATGGCTACAAGGTATTGTCTCATTGTGTGGACTTCATTGATCAAATAATGGCAAAAGGCTTGGAGGAATGGAGCACCAAGAAAGAGGCCATTGAGTTGTTTGGTGAGATTGGAAGTCTCTTTTTTAAAGTAATTTCACTTATGTTCTTGGGGACTGACATGGGTGGCCCTCGCATAGCTGAGTTTGAGACCATGTATAAATATGGTACTCCACCAAAAAAAAAAAAAGAACCGAGGGGAGATATCTTTTGAAATAAATACACTTTAAACACGTTGTGCTTTTTATTTTTCGTTGTTGTTGCGAATAAAACATACATTTGACAGTATTTACGTACAAAAAAAACATAAATAAATTTCCTAAACTTTCTCTCGAATTAAAACGACCGACAATTCTCCTAAATAAATCACAGACTATTTCTTAACCTTATTCGAAAAAGAAAAAATAAAAAGAAAAGGTCATTCCATTTCGACAAAAGACCCACACCCAAGTTCTATACCTTTGGGTCCGCTATCCCGATCATGATTTTCCTACCCCCAGAGGGAAAAGTCCTTCCCTTTTTGGCCGGTTGTGGGCGAGGAGGGATTCGAACCCCCGACACCGTAGTTCGTAGCCACGTGCTCTAATCCTTTGAGCTACAGGCCCCACCTCGTCTCCACTGGATCTGTTCTCGGGGGTACCCTAAAAAAAGGAACCTTTCCTCTCCCCAGCCATTTGCCATTTCAGGTTAAGAAGATGTGAAAGCGTCTCTCTCTATAAGAACGGTGCGTTCCAAGGTGTGAAATGAGAAAGTTAATAGCTATTTTTATCGAGTCAAGATTAATGACTCACATTGATAAGTTTTACTTTGCTTTAGATTCTTGACTACAAACAATTCCAACATATTTACAAAACTTTACCCTTGCTAAGTGTTTGGCGAGAATATTTGCGTGTTGGTCTGTAGTGTCAGTGTTGCTCGGTCCCTAACCAACTCCATATTTTTCATAAGAAATTTTAATTCCACTCCATGCAATTTGTCCCAATTCTCTCTTTGTGCAGGTACTTCTTCATCGTGTAGCTTACTCTTTTGTCTTCTCACCTTCTTTCTAGACATGCCTCTAGTCTTCTTTGATTGGGAGGACAAGTTTGATGTCTCATTTTTTTTACATCCTCGTGACCTTTCTTAATATGTCAACCATAGAGCATGCTAAGAATTCTATAAGATCATACAATTTACACTAACGTCAATCTGATACCAGATTGTTGAAGACAACTCTTTGTAGAAAACGCTCACACTATTTATTAACACAAATCAAAGAGATTACAAGACACTATGTACTAGTGCTTTGTATTTCTTGGTAAATGAAAACATGGATAGGGTGGAGGGTTATTTATACCCGCTTGAGAATCTATTACTAGAATATTTAAAAAAAATTCATAAAATATCTAGATATTTTTATTTTAAAATACCTAAATTATTTTACTAAAATAAATATTTAGTGAGCTCATACAATTATTGGGCTCAACCCTCGGAGTAATGATATTTTAACAATTTTCACTCGGGTAAGTTTCGCCAAAGAAGCATTTTATTGTTTTTAAATAAGTTAATGTTATTTATATAGTTATATTTTGTTGATATTTTTTATACTTAGTAAATTGCTTTAAGAAAATAAAAATTCAAAATTAATGATTGAAATTATACAATTTTACAATAGGCTCAACTTTAGTATAGCTAGGATTACCAGCGGGTCATTATCAGGCCACAACTCTTCAGATGATGATATGGAAGAAAAAAGAAAAAAGGAGCAAAAAGCAGTTTTTAGATGAGGCAGTCACTGCCCACCATCCATCGAAGATAAAGCAATGTCATCGTCTTTTAATCTTTACTGGTAGCAGAGGCAGAGCAAAACAGAGGAGCAAGAAGAAGAAAACAGAGCAAATTGAACAAGAAAACTATGGCGCTTAGAATGTGGGCTTCTTCTACCGCCAATGCACTCAGACTTTCATCTGCATCTAAAACCCATCTCTCTTCTCCATTCTCCCTCTCCAGATGCTTTTCCACCGGTAATTTTTGCTCTTTCCTCCTTTGCCTACAAACTGTTTGTGGAAATGCCTCTATGAATTTGGATTTTGTTTTTTTTGCTGTTGGATCTCGTTTCCGTTCTGTAGTGTTGTTTGATTGTTAAGTATGTTTAATTTGTTATCTGGGTATGATAAAAGAGGGGATTTGTTTGTTCTTAGTTGAATTTAAAGCATGTTGGTCGGGTTTGCAGTTTTGGATGGACTGAAGTATGCTTCTTCTCATGAGTGGGTGAAGCATGAGGGTGAGGTTGCTACCGTTGGCATCACTGACCATGCTCAGGTGCTTTTTCTTTTTTCGTCATTAAACATCTATTTATGACGATCGTCCTTTAAATTTTGTTTCTAATAGGTTTATGTTGTTAATTCCACTATTTTAATGCTAACATGATATGTTTTTACTATGACGGTTGCATTGGAAATGAACCCACTCGAATGATACACAATTTGTGTGAGATTTTACATCAGTTGAGGAGGAGAACGAAACATTCTTTATAAGGGTGTGGAGGCGGTCACGAGGCGGCGTGCCAGCAAGGACGCTGGGCTCCGAAGGGGGTGGATTGGAGAAGGGAACGAGTGTTAGCGAGGACGTTAGGCCCTGAAGGGGAGTGAATTGTAAAATTACAGTCCCACATCGGTTGGGGAGGAGAACGAGTCGTTCTTTATAAGGGTGTGGAAACCTTCCCCTAACAGACACGTTTTAAAAACCTTGAGGGGAGACCCAAAAGGGAAAACCCAAAGAAAACAATATCTGCTAGCGGTGGACTTGGGCTCTTACAACTAGCGTATCTTGTTATCGTTAGATGAGTTAGTTGTTGGACAAAAAATTTGAGACCTATTAGAAACTTTTTAAGGACTAAATAGACACAATCCTAAAAGATTATGACATAGGAACTAAGCTTATAATTGTAGGTAAATTTTATTTGTGAGGTCCCATATCAGTTAGAGAGGAGAACAAAGCATTTTTTATGAGGGTGTAGAAACTTCTCCCGCTGGGCTCCGAAGGGGAGTGGATTGTGAGATCCCAAATCGGTTGGGGAGGAGAACGAAAGAAAACCTCTCCCTAGCAAACGCGTTTTAAAAACCTTAAGGGCAATCCCGAAAAAGAAAGTCGAAAAAGGACAATATCTACTCACGTGGGCTTGAGCTGTTTTATTATTACTTGGGATGATGTTTAGATAAGAAATCTTGATAGTTACAATTCCTTTTGCTGCTACACACCCATGGAAACTGATTCATCTTCTATTTTATTAACTTTTATATTAATCCATTCTAGAAATTATGCATTTATCTTGATATTCAAACATGGGTTGGAAGCGTTTTGTTTGATGCATTTTCACAGGACCATCTAGGAGAAGTGGTGTTTGTGGATCTGCCAGAATCAGGTGGTTCAGTTTCTCAAGGTAAGAGCTTTGGAGCAGTGGAAAGTGTGAAAGCAACGAGTGATATCAACTCCCCAATCTCTGGTGAAATTGTTGAAGTTAACCCACAGCTTAAGGATTCTCCTGGTTTGGTAATTCCAAATCCTCAACTCTTTTTGCCAATTCTTTGGACTCTGCATTTGATCGGTTCTATTCTTAGATACTCGTGTTTCATTTTGGTTCAAATGCTTTTTTTCGAAGGTATTTAATCTAGTCTTTGTACGTCTGTTATTGTGCAATTAGATATTCAACATTGGGATTGGTTGTTCATAAAATTATATGTTAGGAATCATGAACCTCCACAATGGTATGATATTGTCCACTTTGAGCATAAGTTCTCATGGTTTTGTTTTTGGGTTTCTTCAAAAGGTCTCATACCAATGGAGATGTATTTCTTACTTATAAACCCAGGATCATTCCCTAAATTAGCCAATGTGGGACTCCCTCCCAACAATCCTCAACAATCCTCTCCTCGAACAAAGTACACTATAAAGCCTCCCTTAAGGCCTATGGAGCCCCCGAACAAACAGTCTCCTCTTAATCAAGGCTCGACTCCTTTTTTTTGGAGTCCTCGAACAAAGTACACCCTTTATTGTACTTTGTTCGACACTTGAGTCACTTTTGACTACATCTTCGAGGCTCACAATTTCTTTGTTCAATATTTGAGGATTCTTTTATTGACATGGCTAAGTAAAGGGCATGGCTCTGATATCTTGTTAAGAATCACGAACCTCCACAACGGTATGATATTGTTCACTTTGAGCATAAGCTCTTGTGGTTTTGTTTTTGTGCTTTCCCAAAAGACCTCATACCAATGGAGATGTATTCCTTATTTATAAACCCATGATCACTCCCAACAATCCTCAGACTAAAACGGACAAAAAAAAAGTGCAAAAAAATTGTGATTTTAGTGTAAAGTTCGTATAGTATTGATTTGTTTACTTCCATGTTCATGAAATGAAGATCAATTCAAGTCCATATGAAGGGGGATGGATGATAAAAGTGAAGCCAAGCAATCCAGCTGAATTGGATTCCTTGTTTGGTCCAAAGGAATATACAAAGCATTGTGAAGAAGAAGATGCAGCCCACTAGAGCTGATGAGTAACAAGAGGTTAAGTTAATTCCTTTTCAAGCTGCTTGAATCATTGACATATCAGAAGCTATTTCTTGTGAGTTGAAATGTGTCCAAGCATCTGAACTACATTCATGTTCTTCAATGTTTATCCCACTTGCAATTACTTGTATTTCTATTCCATATTTTTAGTTATTAGTTCTTGAATTTGCTGAATTTTATTGCATTAATAAGCCTTCCATCTCTAAACCCTTTTAACAAATCGACCCCTCAAGTTTGTATCATCGAATTGGTCATTTTGAGCCTCGTTTTCTATCTGGATAGAAGGTTGTAGATCATTATTGTGTCCTGTAACCGATCAAGTCCACCGCTAGCAGATATTGTTTGCTTTAACTCGTTACTTATCACTATCAGTCTCACGGTTTTAAAACGCGTATGCTAGAGAGAGGTTTCCACACCCTTGTAAGAAATGTTTTGTTCTTCTCTTCAATCACTATGAGATCCCACGTTGGTTGGAGAGGGAAACAAATCATTCCTTACAAGGGCGTGGAAACCTCTCCCTAGTAGACACGTCTTAAAACCGTGAGACTGATGGTAGTACGTAACGGATTAAAACAAACAATATCTTTTAGCAGTGGACTTGAGCTGTTGCATGTTCAAACTTTATTTTATCTATCATTTTAATGTCCGGCTATGCACTGGATCATACAATATGTGACCGAACTCATTTTTACTTTAGCCAAGTAACATACATGGTCTCCCTTGTTGATCTCACATCTTTATGAACATGAATGAAATCTATATAAACAAATAGTGGTAGGTGATTATGAGATATATCGTTAGTTGACCATAAATTATGTTAAGAGATTCAAATCGGATTCAAAACATGTACAGTTGTACTTACGTTTAATTATTGTCACGAATCCACCACCGTGTCATAATGAAAAAGTGATCAAAAAGTGGCTAGAATAAGGAGGAAGGAGGAGAAATTGCAAGAAAAATTGAAGAAGTAGCTTCGGAATATGCCTCGAACCCGAGCCTCAAGTTTGAAACCGAACCTCAAGGTGACCTCAGCTTCAAATCAATCTAGACCTCCCGAACCTAAGCAAGTCCACACCTACCGAAGAACCCATCAACATACAACTCATCGCACGAAGCTACACAAAGCTCGTTCCATCAGCGAACCTGCCCCAATGGCCCATTCTCAATCCCACGTTCATATAGCCAATTCAACTGGTCTTTCACACATAGTAATCACGACATTCAAAAAGTAGTGGTCTTAGTTTAAAAGAAAAGGTAGGGTCGTTACATCAAACATTGTTCACACATAAAATTCTAATAGTTCTTTAGTTTAGCCTCTACATCAAGTCTTCTACGTGCATTGTAGATTCTTATTCAACATGATTTAGTTTGAAAAAATAATAATAATAATCAAGCTATAGGTAAATATCTCACAGAGATTTCTTCGCATAAAAGATATTTGTTTTTTTCTCTCTCGACTTCAATTTTCAATCGCTAAATGAACTCGATTGGATTTCGAATGAACGTTAAACTAGCTAAAATATAGGCCTACTAACATTAAATGCTTCTAAAGAGTTAAAACAGTAGAAAATGATCTGCAAGTTGGATTAGTCAAAAATCCGAGTTGGAGCCGTAATTCTTCAACCAATTTCAACTCGCGAGTGAGATAAGAGGAAACAATTGTTGTACCTTAGAAAACTAAAGACATCTCAACCGACAACTTTTGTTTTCTTTTTCTTTTTAGTTTTTGGTTATTACAATCTTTTGTGTTGTTTGACCATTTATTAAATATATATTTAAATTTGGCCATCTATCACATCACCCAACTTTAAAATTTATTAGTGACAGAATAGTTTTCGTTGTTCTTAGAAAAGTCGCACTCGACTCCGTTTAGCCCACAAGTTAAAAAATCTCACCAAAAAACGAATCCACGATAGGGTCAGGGTAGCAAAACAATTTCTTGCCTCATTAGGCAGAAGCAGCGCATATAATATCTTTCTCGAAAATAAGATTTAACAAGTATAAATTTAAAAGCTCAAAAACGTAATACGTAAACTTTTAAAAGCTTAGGTACGATAATATACCAATCTAAAATTTCAGAGACTAACTACACTTATGGTTTAAGCTAATATGAACGTATATTCCTTGGTATATAAAGTTCTAGATCCACCAATCACTCGATCTAAGCTATTCCTTAGACTTGCCTCATTCGATCAAACCGGGCTCGATTTCATGTAACTTTTGCATGAAAATTCTATAAGTTGTAGTAGAATTAACAAGGCTTTCATCTCTAGAATGAAACTGAGATGATTTATTTATAAAACGTTATATATATATGTATATATGATCTCTTTTGATTTCAACGTTTATGAGTCTCTTACAACTCTTGCAAGGCAGTTGTCTGTAGGCCTTGGCAATGGCAGATAATTCTCTGGGCAATTTGGATTTACTCTCTCAAGTCTGCACAAGAACAACACAAAAATCAAGTTTTTAATGATTTTTTTGGTTTAATTTTTACATAAATGAAGAACAATAACACTGCTTTGAAGAACACCTGAAGCCACCATGGATGAAATAGTGAAGAAAAATGGCAATTTCAAGCTTGGAAAGATCAATTCCAGGGCATAGCCTCATCCCTGCTCCAAAAGGAATGAATGATCCAGCTCTTCGTTTTGGATTCTGAAACCGAAAACAAAAATATAAGACGTTTAATTCATCTAATCGGAAAGATAGTGTTCTCTTTCGAAATTCCTTTCAAGGTTTTTAAAACGCGTCTGCTAGGGAGAAGTTTTTACATTCTTATAAGGAATGTTTCGTTCTCCTCCCAACCAATGTGGGATCTCACAATCCACCGAGCGTTCTTGCTGGCACTCGTTCCCTTCTCCCATCGATGTGGGACCCTCCAATCCACCCCCTTTGGGGACCAGTGTCCTTACTGGCACACCACCTTGTGTCTAGCCTCCTTGCTGACACATCGCCCGGTGTTTAACTCCTATACCATTTGTAACGGCCCAAGCCCACAACTAGAAGATATTGTCCTATTTCGGTTTTCTCTTTCGGGCTTCCCCTCAAGGTTTCTCAAATGCGTATGCTAGGAGAGGTTTCCACACTTTTATAAACAATATTTTGTTCTCCTCCCCAACTGATTGGGATCTCACAATCCACCCTCTTTTCGGTCCCACTGTCTTTGTTGGCACACTGCCTCGTGTCCACCTCCTTTCGGGACTTAGCCTCCTCACTGCCACATTGCCCAGTGTCTAGCTCTGATACCATTTGTAACGGCTCAAGCCCACTACGAGCAAATATTGTCCTCTTTGGGCTTCTCTTTCCAAGCTTTCCCTCCAGGTTTTTTAAACATATATACTGGAGAGAGAGGCTTCCACACCCTTATAAACAATGTTTTGTGCTCTTCCCCAACCGATGTGAGATCTCATAGCTAACAAGGCCGATGAACAATGAGAATAGTAGTAACCCTACTTTTTTGTGGTAACGTACAACTAAGTGGGGTGAATGAAGGGAATATGTATTACGAGAGTACTATAAATTTTTTCTTTACTACTTACATCCCATCTAGAGGGGTCGAATTCTTCGGGGTTCTCGTAGATTTCAGGATCCATATGAACCGCTCTCGTCCAAACAAGGATTTTCCAACCTTTCGGAATGGTGTAACCTACAAAATAAAACAATTTTATTACCATGGAAAGTAGTAATTTTGATCCATGAAATACAAATTATGTAATGCTAAACGAACCATTTAAGTTAACATCAGTTCTTGTTTCTCTCGACAACGTGAAGGCCAAACTTGTTTTCCTCAATGTCTCATCAATCACCTAAGACAAAAAAAAATAAAAATAAAAACGTGTTCTTTTAAATAAATCTCGAAAAATAATAATATTTAAACAAAACAAAAATGAACCTTCGAAAGATATTCCATTTGTTTGATTTCCTTCATGGTCAAGCCTCTGTGTCGTTCACTAGTTGGCCTTGCGTTCACAATTTTCTCTTGCTCAGCCTGCACAATAAATCGATCTTTAAATAATGAACTCAATCTATCTCAATTCAACCATAAATTTTTTGGGTTGAATTGGTTCTCGTCATTTATTTAAAATGAATGCCTAAAACATATATTTATTTATTTATAAACATTTATTTAAGATTTATCACTCAAATTCAATATATATTTTTACTTTCCAAACCGTTAAATATTATTTTTTTAGAATAAATAATAAAAAAAATAATTATTAAATTAAAATTTTAAATATATGTATATATAATTATAGCAGAGGTTTTAACCTAATGTCGACTCAACCCAGTATAATAACCCAACCCAACTCATTTAGGTTAGATTAGGTTGATCGAGTTTTTAGAGTCACCAAGTTTCTTAAACACCCTTAACAAAAACCATAAAGAACCAGACATCAGGTGAGAATACCAATTTGCTCGTAAAAGTCGAATCTTTTTGTAGTTATTAAACGAGGATTGAAAACATAGGAAGAAGAAACGAACCTTAGCTTTACAAAGGGTTTCGGGATTTTCGGAGAGAAACATGATAGCCCTCATGATACTATGAGCCGAGGTTTCGTGGCCAGCAAAGAAGAAACCGATCAATAGATCAATAATGCAGCCATCATCCAAGCCATGGCCTTCTTCATCTTTAACTTCTAACAGCAAATCAGTCATGTCTTTTTTTCTATTTTCTTCCACTTTGTTCTTTAAATTCTCCCTCTTCTCCTTTAGAACACTTTCAAAGATCCTTATCAACTCGTTTCTTGCCTGAAATTTACATTACAAAAAAAAGGATTATAAACTAGTCGATGTGGGACTTTCATCCCGACATTTGAGGATTCTCTATTGACATGGCTAAGTTTAAGACATGACTCTGATATCATGTTAGATGAACACGACTCTCCACAATTGTATGATATTGTTCACTTTGTGTGTAAGCTCTCATTCGTTTTGCTTTGGACTTCTCCAAAATGTCTCGTACCAATGGAGATAGTATTCCTTAGTTATAAATTCATGATCATTCTCTACATTAACGACGTTGGACTTTCATCCAACATGTGTATATCATGTGTTCGCATGTTAGGTAAAATACAAAAACCAAAATTAGCCGCTAAAAAAAATTAAATTAATAAAAATATTCCTAAATTATTATTATTAGTTATTATTATTTCATTTACTTTATAATAAATACAAATTCATTTGAATGTCATGAGTCAGATTTTCTGGCT